TGGCTACTGATCTGAATTTTTATCCTCTTGCGGACAAAAAACAGGCTCATGTCTCTATCCCTATTGAAATGGCGAAGGAAGCTGCCAAAGCCTATAACTCCGTTTTATATGGCTATTTCCTGGGACCTCGTATCCCTTTTCCTCTTGTGAAAAAAATTGTTAAAATGGCGTGGAGTAAATTTGGATTTTTGGATGCGATGCTTAATGAGAATGGTATTTTTTTTCTTCAAATTTAATGATGTTGGTGGATGTGATCAAGTGATTGAGGCTGGCCCGTTGATGATCAGAGGTATTCCTTTATTTGGCCATCGTTGGGATCCGTCCAAGGGATTAAAAAAACCGGAACATTCCTCCTGTCCATTGTGGGTGAAACTCCATAATATTCCTTTAGTTGCATTTAATAAAGAAGGAGTTAGTCGTATTGCGAGTGTTCTGGGTATACCAAAGCAAATGGATTCGTGCACTGCTTCAATGTGTGAAAAAGCTTGGGGCCRGCCTGGTTTTGCTAAAGTTCTTGTTGAGGTTTGGGCTGTGGGTGACCTAAAACGGAAAATTGATGTTGAAATCCCAAACATAAATGGTGGAGAACCCGAAAGTGTGCAAATTCAAGTAGAATACTTATGGGAACCGATTCAATGTTCCCATTGTCAAATCTTTGGTCACAAACTCTCGTCGTGTGTTAAAGCAGCTAGTTTGAATAAAGGCAAACAAATTGATGGCCGTAAAGATGCTGATGGGTTTACTAGAGTGGTGAAAAAACAATGGCGGGTTAAAGGTGGAAATAAAGCCGATCATTCAAATGGTAAATCGGATAGTGGAAGAAAGGACACAAACCCTCTTGAAGCGTCCTTGGGAGTGAATGTTGTAAGTCAAGAAAGGGAAATAGAAGATTCTATGGTTTCTAATAATGTTGAGTTGATGGATCCTTCTTTGCCAGCGGGGAGGGATGCGTTCGGTGAATCAGGTACGACTAATTATGGGCCTTCATCTTCATCTTCTAAGTCTTCGCACCATACTATGTCTACTCCTACCCCACTTATTTCTTCTGTGATTAAAAAACTTCGGTTGCCGAGACGAGGGGTTGTGCTAAACAATGTTGATTCTAATCGGTTTGGGGTGCTTGAGCCGGTAGGGGAAGAGACTGCTCGGGTGGACTCTCTTGATGAGGTGGTCAATGATCTGACTGATGATCAGGGGGATAATCGGATGAATAGGGAGCAAGGAGAAAGTTTAAACCCTTCTTCATGATGAAATTTGCTTCATGGAATATCTGGGGGCTTAATTCTCCGGTTAAACAAAAAGAGGTACGGAATTTTATTCATTGTAATGATGTGTGTTTATGTTCCATTGTCGAATCTCATGTTTCTAAGGATTCTCTTGAAAGTGTTTGCTATAACTCATTTGGTCAGTGGAATTGGGTTTCTAATCAAAACATGAGTGATTATGGTACTCGTATAATCCTTGCTTGGGATGCTCGGTTTTTAGATGTCATGGTGTTAGAGGCTCATAATCAATTTTTTAATTGTAAGGTGCTTGTTCGGGGTAGTCAACATTATATTTTCGCTTCTTTTGTATATGGGGCTAATGTTTGTAATGCCCGTCGTGCTTTATGGTCGGGGCTGCGAAAATTTAAAGTTCTCATTGGTTCTTCCCCGTGGGTTGTATTGGGGGATTTTAACACCATGTTATTCCCCCATGATGGGTTTGGAGGGTCCTCTCGTCGTAACTTGGATATGGCTGACTTTTTTGCGTTTGTGGAGGATGTGGATTTATTTGATTTACATTATACGGGAGTCCATTTTACGTGGAACCAAAAACCGAATTCTTTGGGAGGTATCATGCGGAAATTGGATAGAGCTATGGGCAATGTTGAATTCACGTCTGTTTTTCATAATGCTAGTGTTCACTTTCATCCTCCGGGTCTTTCGGATYATGCTCCAGTGACGGTTTCTTTTAGATGCGGCACTTGGAAAAAAAGAAATGGGTTTAAATTTGACAATTTCTTGACTGAACATCYAGGTTTTCTTCAAGTTGTAAAGGAGGAATGGGRAAAAAATATCGAGGGTACTTTTATGTTTCGAGTGACTTCTCATTTAAAAGCGCTAAAGAGTCCTCTTCGGAAACTTCGTCATTCTTATGGCAACCTTGGTAAGCGTGTTGCCTTTTTGAAGACTGAACTTGATCGTATCCAGATGGATGTTGATAATGATCCGTCTAATGTTGAGCTAGGCCAAGAGTTGGGTCATATTCGGATTGCGTATCAAAATGCATGTTGGGATGAGAATTGTGCCGCGAATCAACGAGCCAAAATTGCTTGGTTGAATGAAGGTGATTTGAATACAAAATTCTTCCATAAAGTGATTAAAGAACGGCATCATTACAATTCTATTCAGTCTGTGTGTACAAGTGATGGAACTTATGTCTATGGTGATGATGTGCCTAATGCTTTTGTGGATCATTTTAAAAGCTTTCTGGGATCGAGGTATGTTTCTTCTGATCTGACTATCACTAATGATGTTTTCATGCATAAACTTTCTTTGGCGGAAGCTAACCATATGATCAGACCTATTCAAAATGAAGAAATTAAAAATGCTATGTTTAGCATTGGTAATTATAAAGCTCCTGGGTCTGATGGGTTTTCTTCHAAGTTTTTCAAAGCGGCTTGGGACATTGTTGGCCGTGATGTGGAGACTGCAATTCACAATTTCTTTTATCGAGGTAATCTTCCTAAGAGCTTGAATCATACGCTTTTATGTTTGATCCCTAAATCTATTAATGCTTCAAGAGTCATGGATTACCGGCCTATAGCATGCTGTACTGTGCTTTATAAATGCATTAGTAAGGTCATTGTGAATAGAATGAAGGATCTTTGGATTTTTTAATTAATAAAGCTCAATCGGCTTTTATTCCGGGGAGAAGGATTACGGATAATATCCTTATGGCGCATGAACTTGTGTCTGGTTATCAATCTAATACGGGTCCGCCTCGTTGTGTGTTCAAAATTGATATACGAAAAGCTTATGATACTGTGGATTGGCAGTTCCTTTTTGTTATGCTTGAAGGTTTGGGATTTCACCCTGTTATGGTCAAGTGGATAAAAGAGATGGTGTCGACTCCTTCTTATTCTGTAGCCATTAATGGTACCTCCCATGGTTTTTTTCTTGGAGGGAGGGGGAAGGTCAGGGTGATCCGTTGTCCCCCTATCTGTTTACGATTGTTATGGAGGGATTTTCTCTGCTGCTCCAAAAGTGTATTCGTGAGGCTGCTGATTTTGGTTATCATCGGGGTTGTGAGGATTTGGATTTGACTCACTTATGTTTTGCGGATGATTTATTTGTCTTTACAAAAGGGGATGTCATTTCTGTTGAAGTGCTTAAAAAAGCTCTGTCTCTTTTTCAGAATTATTCGGGATTAGCGCCTAGTCTTGAAAAAAGTGACATTTATTTTGGGAATGTTCCTTCCAACATTAAAGCAGCTATCCTTGAATGCCTTCCTTACAAGCTTGGTGTTTTTCCTGTTCGATATTTGGGTGTTCCTTTATCGCAATCTCGGTTAAAGTCTTGCGACTATGCTCCGATGATTGCTAGAGTGAAGAACCGTATACTTAATTGGAAATCTAAGTTTCTTTCGTTTGGTGGTAGGCGTCAGCTTATTATATCGGTTCTTCAATCTCTCCAGCTTCATTGGATGTCAGTTTTCTTATTTCCTTCTGGTATCATTCATGATCTTGAATCTATATTTCGTAAATTCCTTTGGGCTCCAAGGG